GAAACCCACACCCAAGACCATCAATAGTGCCTGGTGGCTATGAACAATCGAATGGGCTAATCCAAGCTTGATAGTTTGTATTGATTTAGCCATTCGCACAAGGCGATGATCGTCGGCCGTGTAGCTCAAGAGTAAGGGTTTAAAGTCCCGACCCGACTGATTGCGGTTCGAGTCCTGACAGGGACACAAAAAGTACGCAATGCTGACGAGTCCCAAACAGGACGAAACAACTGTTCAGTGCTTTTTGTTGGTTATCACAAACATTTCCATCGCAACTGAATGCATTGTTTCGTGGGGAGTTAACGATCTCCCGAGGAGTGAAACCCACACCCAGGACCATCAATAGTGCCTGGTGCCTCTGAACAATCGAATGGGCTAATCCAAACGTCATACTCTAAAGCTTCGTAGCATGTTTTGGACCCCAACTAAATGTAAATCGGTGCGAGACACTTTCATACAGATAATGGGTAAATAAACTGTTCAGTAGACAGTGAAATTAAACAATGAAAACGAAAATGGAACGCACCGAAAGTGGATTAACCAATTGTCTCCTCGCATATTTGCATTTCTATCAAATTCATTTGGTCACTTAAACTCAGTCCTAGTAACTTCATCTATACTTGCATACACACACGGCTCACTTGGAGTAACTTTTTTAACATAACGGATGCCAACTCTATATTCAATAACACGCATTTATAACAGTCATATGGGGAAGGGTGAACACAAGATCAGGTGAGGGGAGTTCACCGATTGCCAGTCAAGTTGAAAGGAGACGAACGCCCGACATGCGATCAGTGCGCAGGAAGGTTCAAGCTAGAGTATCAATACGCCTGAATCGGTGTCAGTCGCATTCCATATATGTCTTGCTGTAAAACCCACCTCGACAGAATGGAATGTCGACTAAAGGTTACATGAGAGAGAAAAAGCAAAAGAAGTTGCACAGAGAACTACATACCCACACGAGGAGTGGTACGATAAACACAGAAAGAAAACGGCAATTTGGAGCAGAGACAATGAAGATTACGAATATTAAGGCCTGATAGTTCTGTGGCACACAAATATTAATGGTAACATTGCGAACAATCGCGTATGTGCAACGAAATTATTTGATCACCACCTTAGATAGTAAAATGTGGTGAATGGAGATCAGGCGGATTAAATTGTAAACCACCGCCAATGCCCTCCGCCTACACACACACACACACACACACACACACACATCTTATTATGCGTGCTTGCTAATCCTCTAAAATCAATTCGCGAATAATGAAGTTGTATTTGATAGTGATATAAACGTTAAGCTTCGGTTTGGTGAATCCTGAACTTGCTTGCCCTTACCAAACTAACCAAATAAGAGTACTATCAAAATTATCCTACTGAACAACAAACTGGTTGTGCGTAGAAAGTTATTGACGCACGATGGCCACCGCTCGCGAGAACAGGCCATATAACCTAATCATTTTGATGATCGAAAAGCTTGATCACGGGTGCCGTAATCAGGAGACTGGACAACCTAATGGAAAATCCGTCACGCTTCTATACATTCGGAAAGTCACATATATGGCACTTCTACGATCCCAGTTCAACGGTCCGGGAGAAAACAGAAGATTGAAAGGAAATCCGGTGACAACATTTTTTAATAATGATCATATGTACGGGAAGGACAGATGAGAGGCACAGAAGAAGAACCTGTCGGGGTAAGCTCCAAANAGGGGTCAGTGATACGATTGCCCGAAGGTGGATTAGTAACTGCAAATTGGAAGTACGGGAACAGTAATTGATCTTCTGTCGAAAACAATGAAGAAAAAGAGCAGAAGGCCCACCGCAGGTGTGGTTAGTCACTATCCCACAATTGAGTCGCTATATCACCCTCCGTTTTTCTCGTTCCGAGTTCGACTACCCTGCAAGTTTACTCATCTAACCCGCATATGAGCGGCAAGCTTTCTTTGATAAGTGGATGTCTCTGCTAGTAATATTTATAGCTTTAGTTATAGTTATTAGTACGTTGGATCAACAACCTGGCTTTCATATGGATGTCCCACACTAGTCTCCAATTGTGTTGTAGGTCTTTATACCATGTTTTATCCCTTCTGAAATAATTCAATTTAATTGTCTAATGCAATAAGAGCACCGCACTTTCCTCTCAAGTATGAACATTTCACGGGAGAGCGGTAACGCCCCAAAGGTGGCTTCCCCAGTGTTTTCATTCAGACGCATCACGTTGTCACTAGTCCATATCAACTTGGACCCACTCAAGTTTGCCTCCCTTCTTGGAACATATCCATAGTCACCGGTCGTATCTACGCCTTATGTGCAACCACGCCAGCCTGGAAACTAAAAAAATCAACTAGAAATGACTGTAAGAGGATTACAAACTGTGGTGAATTAGGTTCATGGAAATCAGAAAATCTATGCACCTTTTTCCTTTGTGTGTTAAGGCGAAATCGAATCTATACAGACGTCATAAGCTGGCCTAATCGGCAATATTTTGTGAAAACCACAAAAGCATTCCGTTGGCAGATCACGTGTCGCTTGTGTGCATGAGCATCTTGCTCTATCATGTTAACGTGAGAACCACGTTGGCTCCCAGCCTAATAAAGGTAGTATCGTTCACTTGTCCAAAGAACGATAGCTGCGTAACTTCATCCCCAACCTAATTGAACTAAAAGCGCTTGTTATAGGTGGCGGCCCAGCGGTTTAATTCGAAGTTTTTTATTAAGGTTTATGACCTGACCCCCACCACCTGACTGTGGTAGCGAGCAGTTTTGTTGCCATCCGGTTCCAAATCACGTTTTTACTATGCATTCTTTTGTGGTGCGTCGATGGACACACAATAATCTTCACTCCTACACTAGAACTGTGAAAAAATGGGGACAACTTCAACAAATTTGTGAATAACCGCTTTCGCAGTTTCCATTATTGTCTGCGAATCAAACACGCTACTTGATCGACTTCAGTAGCTAAAATTTCGCATTCTGTGCCGACATACCAAACAGAAAGACATTTGCCCATGATAGTATATCTGAAATCCGGGAAGTGAGTGAACTTTTAAAAATTGAGACCTACTCAGAACAACCAAACACAAACTAATATTTGAATTAGCAGGAATAAGGAGATTAGCACATATTCAGTTTTTACACCCAACGCACAAAGCGTTAGACTTTGGTCTTGTAACTCAAGGGTAAAGGTTTCGGCTCTCAACCAGAAAGATTCACATTCTGATTTATACTCGGTGTAAAATACAGTACGCGCTATTGATACGTCGTTAGTGGCAGGGCACATTTCGAGCACTATGTCGGCCTGCGCGCGGAATTCTGCGGCATTTAAAGTCATTGGGAAAACTTTGAGTCTGCCCTTAGTACGACTGTTTCATTTGCGTGTTTTTAGTCTTTCTGTTTGTCAATACGTTCATCTACCGGTAGTCTTAGTGCAATCTTTCGAGTCGCACCCACTATCATTAGTTGAAGGGGATTGGGAAAGTTGCCTATTTTATGCCACTACACCAAAATCGCACCGGACAATTTCATCTCTCCCGGTTTTCTACATCGACCCCATACAAACTATCCAAATGTGTAGACCTATAGGTTCACAAATGAAAAGAGAAATGAAACATAATGCAGTATGCTCCTTGGGTACAACTGCGAATTAGATTAGTGCATCGTTTCTCATGTTGTCAGAATATTAGTTTTGCACAGTCCTCTTTCATTTGGTATGTGAATGATGCGACATTCTTTTGCACGACTCATGTTCTCCTTGTCGATTCGTTCATGCCAAATGTCAGATGGCGTCCACTTTGATCAGTCATCATCATGTAGTAGTCACACGGCAAATTTCAACAGCTTGCAAAGAACCACTATCTGCACCTGACTGAATCAGACGTCTGAATCCGGTTCGCACGATTCGCCGTGTTGCATAACTTCTTCCCATTAAGCTGGCGAGATCCTTTCGGATATTTGAATCAGGAACCATTTTGTGTTAATTTGGATGTCGTATTCGGTTCATTCGAGTATGGCTCTCGCAACAACTCTGCCCAGGTCTGCAGCAATGTAGGCGAACATATGTTTTCGGTAATTCACCGAAAACATATGTTCGCCTACATTGTATTCTTAATCAATGGGCATATTTCGTAATGCTTGTCTATTTCACCTACCAAGTATTAACAGTGCTTCACTCATTCGTATGTAACAACGTGTAATCGAGTGAGACCTCATCAGTCAACCTCGTACTCTGATCTTATGACCGAGTTGTTCACCGGTCCAAAACACTTCCTCAAAGTATGAAAATGGGCTTCCAATAAAACCTAGCTGTAATCCGCGTGTATTATATCTGTCTACGCGCAATTGGGAGAATAGAAAAGCTTGTGCATAGACCCACGCGGCAGTTGATGATATTCGCAGATAATTATAAGTCTGCTTAAATTGGCCGGATCGGGTTGAATGAAACGTGATTGACAAAGTCGAGTCCGTGACAGAACGAACACGGCTAATCATTAGTGCACTAAAAAACAATTTGCGTGCATTGAAAAAAGTTGTAATCAAAAATTGTCAGATCACATTAGCCGATGATGTCAAAAAGGTGAGCAATGGTTTTCTTTATAAAAACATAAATCATCGAGGGAAGATAAACAATAAAAGGAGAACATATACAACCCGAAATATGTGAACTAATTTCATTCTAGATAATCACTGAAACCAACCTGAGTGTCCAGTTGTTTGCACTGGAAAACGGCATTTCGATCACATTCACTCCGTCCAGGATAGTCTGGATACAATACTTGGTGGATTTCCCGGTCACTAAGTACGCTTGATAGAATGGATGTGGTCTAATCCGGCCGGATTCAGAAGCCACAAAAACCTGGAGCGAGGCTCGACCGTTCCAACCGGTCAGCTTTGAATGGATTCCCCGTGGTTGAGTAGAAAGAGAGAGAGAGAGAGAGAGAGAGAGAGAGAGAGAAAATATAAGCAAAAGGTGGGTGTGGTGAAAGCGGGTAGATTTTTTCAAATAGCCCCAATCGACTCTAGCTTAAACAAATCACGGAAAAACAGAAAACAATCAGTAGCCAGTGATAAGCTTAATATTTCGTACGGTCAAATCACGTATTTTAGTCCAGAATATAGAATGGGGCAACAGTCCACAAGTACTTCAGAGCCACGTCACAATTCCTAGTCATTAGATAATGCGCGCCTTTGCTTCGACACAGAAGGGCTCTTCCGACTTCATCACAGCAATTCCAACATGAGTTGAGCGCTTTAAATAGACGTTCACAGAGCAAACTCCACCTAGGGAAAAAGTGACCATTAATCGGCAAAATGCTTCCCAGTATGAGGCTAAATATGGTTTGCCAAACAATGAAACTTACCTACTTGTTCCACCAACATTCGGATGAATATACATTCCGGAGCGGGATCGAGTTCGTTCGGTATTAGCGTTTGATAATGCATGACGAAAAGCAACACAGATCCGGCAGCAAACGTTTGCGCTTTCCACAGTCAGAGCAATCAGTGCAAACCGTAGTCTAGTAATCAATTTTAATAACGATTCAAACGGCAGAAGCAGAAGCCTAGTGCGCCCTGTTCAGGATCGATCGTGGACTATTAGTTGCCATGAATATTAATTGCGATCATGATTTCAACTTTATCCGCAAGCACACGAATATAAGCAAAAATCATGTGCAGACACATCGACCTTGTGTGTAAACATACATTCGGGAGTCATTCTCGTCTCACACCCGAGTACGACACAAAAAAACGAACGGAAAACCCGCTATCTAACGCAAAAACAAGCAATCTACACTCACGCACTTGGTATTTAATAGTTCAGAATCATGTTAAATAAAGAGAATCGAGCGGTTCCCCACTAAGATGAGCAGATACCGGTTTTCGGCTTCAAGCACATAATGCAACGAACCGGTAGTTTGGTTACTTAAGAATGTTACCGCTATCGGAGAGAAGAACAAGTCAGACTATGGGCGTAGTGTTTATGAGATATCTTAATCTGTGTGTGTGTTATTCATTACATCCCGATATGAATCCTGTTAAGATTAAGATTGGCAATCCTATAAGTATAGCCAAACGAATACAACTGCTTACCTGTACAGCCGGATAACCAGAACCAGTACGATCTTTCACTGCTCCACGACTTCCCTCCGTCTGGTAACGAGCACGATGCTGGGTTTCTGGTTGATTCACCACTCGAATATGGCAACGATTTATGGTCGAATAGTCCACGAATGCCTGATGAGGAGATGGGGGTGATAAGAAGGATTTGGTGGGGGGCGTATTGGCTGTTCTACAAGTTGAAACAGCTGAATTTCCTTGTCGTCGAGCTACTGGATTTGTGGTTGATGTAAACTTTCTCGTGGGAGTACGAGCACCCGGATGCGAACGGTTTGAATCGGCCAATTGGACTGAAGTATAAGTGGATCGAGTGGAATCGGGACAGATGACGATCGGGGCCATACCGCACGACGATGCAGTGCTTCGAGGGAGGGAAGCATGCGGATAGTATGATGCAATGTTACGATATGCGGCTAGTGAGAGGAATGGGAGAAAAGAAAAAGCGAAATAAGAAAGATGATCACCTGTAAACTGGGAACAATCTTTTTAATTTTGAAATGTTTATGTTAAGTTAAAGGTACCGGATGGTGCGAATTGTTCATCTATATACGTGTGCTCACTCTTTGGAAGCTTCTTTCTTACTGTTTGATATACATTTTTATTTGTTTGTTGGTTCTCATCGTAAACGTCTCAGTCAGGAGTCGACATGAGGATTTCGGTAAGCAGAGAGTACACACTGTTAGTTATTCTCGACAAGAGCACAGCAGCCGTTCAAAACTGCTTTGAATGGCACAACAGTTAGCAAGTAATAGGAAATCCACTTCCTGGCAAGTATCAATAGAAGACATATGTTTTGAAGTAGGACTGAACTAACACTGTTCAGAATCGTGCGGTGGGTTGTGCATACATGATTAATGATCGAGCGATTACAATCCTGTTTCTCTACCTATCGCACACGATTTATTTACGCTTGTTGGTTTTCAACACTACGTCGTTACTGACTTGTTTACAGCTTCGACTGACTACCACGTTATTATTAATATGACAGGGAATAAATGAACTTCGAAGGATTGAAGACCAAACGAGAAAAAAACCATGCGCGTGACGTGGCGTCGGCGAGTTCGCATTGAAACAGTGCAACAGTGAAATTAATTGGTTTCAGATCACTGTTATTTTCGATCACCACGCGACCTCAGGTCCTGACCACTATTATACACTACAATATTCGTGTACTACAGCATTTGCTCAGAAGTCCTATGCACAAGGACGCCATTCAGATTTCACGTTATTCTTCAAATCATCAAATCAATGTGTCAGAGCTTTACCAACACGCAACAATGGTAGCTGCAAACGACAAGATCAGGCTCGTATCGAGGATGAAAGTGACGATGTCTGCAGTGATCGATTCAACTCTTTCCTTGAAGAGAACATGAGGTGCAGTTATGAAAAACCTTTAATGGATGCAACAGAATATGATTTCGAGATGAAAGCATATCGCGGAATGTCAGTTTTGTTTACTACGCAAGGGGGACGACGTTGGCCTAATTCATCAGACCTTCGGTTGAAGTGACAGAGTGAAAGTGTCCGGATAACGCGGAAGCAGGGTGGTGCACACGATGCAAAACATAGGAACACTATTGACAGGCGAGATGAGTGGCGTAATGACGTGGGTCAGATGTGGAACCGATTCTAAACTAAAGGTATACGTGAACACATGATAAAAACCAGGGCCCTGAAATTTACGCAGTGCCGTCAGATAAGTGATACATGAATGCGGTAACAGATTGAATCAAATTCACTATTTGGCAAAGTTTATACACTTATGTACGAACGCGCGCGTGCATACGCACGGCTAGACGTGGAATGAAGTTAATAACTATTTCCGCGATAGTGAAGATGGAGGAAGCGGAAAACATTCAGTATAACAAACCAACCACCAAACGCCAGCTGAGTAACACGAACCCACACCTAAACACAATTGCTCCATCCGTTCGCGACAACAAACTGTTCAGAACTGGAGATGATCATGATGATATGGCGACATAAAGGATCGAATATGGTAATGCGTGGCATTCGATGCCAGGCACAATTATGACTCAATCTAGTCATGGTAATTCACTCATATTGGGTTTACGATACAGAAAGCAACTAAAAGAATGTGAAAAGTGACACGGATTTGCTAATCCTAGACAGTTTTTTTCAGGAGGGAGGAGCAATAATGTTGTCGGAGTTATGCATCTGAATGAACATTCTGTGGGATTTGGGAAAAGCAGAAAGCTAGCGTGAGGAATGGCAGTCTGTCAGAGATGGACTCCTCGGCTGTAATCTAATCAAATCTCATAAAACCTGGTGTGTGCGTGTGTGTGTGTGTATGGGTATGTGTATGTATGTGTTCGTGCGTTCGCGGAAACCTGCAGAAACTTCTGTGTACCTCCGGTAGCTGTAAAAGGTAATAGATCGGAAGATCTATCGGGTCAGTGAAGAACGCAATACTCAATTAAAGGATGAATGTAGTCCACACAGTCATGAACTCCGTATTTAAGTTCCTTGATTATGGGTTTTTTAGTGAGACTAATTGAAAAGTGTGGAAACGATACCAAGATGGAAACGTTAAGGGGAACATCATAGCACAATACAAAGAACAAAAATGATACGAGAATGGCACGAACCACGACAAATCTTGATGCCTTCAGTCTTAGATGGAAAAGGCAAAGTGGCCTCGTGCTTAACAACTGAATCCAAATACACAAAATTGTTACGATCAGCAGTGACCGATCCGATTCACTTGTAATGTTCAAAGGGTTGAAACCTGAGAGGTAAAGCACAAAATTCCTGATTGCAAAACTGGACAAAACTTTGCGCAAATTTCTTCCGTCAAGAGTAGTGTGTACTGCTTCGTTTTGGTTAACCCTAGTGAATGAAGCAAAGGTGATTTTGTGCGAGGAGAAAACGCAATGCTGTAGCATAGCATACCTGTTTGTTGGTAACATAGTTCGAATCCGGTGAACGAAGAGAAATCATACATTGACATGAGAACTGTAAATATTACACGGTCTGGACAAAACGAGACGAGAAAGAAAGCGGAGATGTCTTGTGGAGTGCAAACGCTGCGAATGTGTAAACCACAGAAAAGCGTAAACATTGTGCTGGTGAGCTATTCATCTGAGCTTTTCTACATTCGCACAGCTGATCAAGATGCAGAGACGGAGGGGGAACTAAAAACAAACATCAGTCAGCACCGGTAAGCTCGATTGTGAGAAAAGGTTATTAGTTAGTACAGGTGGGTATGGGCGAGTGAATTGCACGGAATAGTATCATTTAACACCTGTGCTTAAAGCACACTTGAACAGACAAACACTACCGTTTTAGGGTGCTACAAGATCAACACAAATACAGACACAGACCACAAACATGCTGAGAGACATACAATTTCGACCAACTACCCGATCTCTTCGGCCCATGCGCAAACAGAGACACAGAAAGAAACAACCGTTCGAGTAATTCCGTACACCAACTGAACGCACGGCAGCACGAAGAATATTTAAAAACACGGTTTGAGCACGTAACTGATGGCCTCAGATATCGACAGTTTGTCACCAGGTATACGGTCGTGTCATACACCAAATTCTGTGTGAACGCAATTATATCGACAGCTTAATGAAACTGAGAGCTACGAATTGGCAAGATAATTGAAATCACATACTGGTTCCCGGGAATGTGGAGCTTAAGCTCGGTAGCAGGTGATCAATATCAGGATATTCCTACCGCCTCTCTATTGCTACTTACTGACCGCCAAAACCACTACGACACATACACACTCGCATATCTCACAGTTTTATTATGGGTCGTTGACTTTCATTAGGCTGTGGTGTGCGTGCCCTGAGTAGACTGTTCGATTGCACGGTTTATTTGTGCCGAAGTGCCAATAGAGCTTTACAATTGGCGATTTTGTCACTGCCGAAACTTTCACACTGAAGGAATTTGGTTTGCCTGACGTGGATAGTTCTTTGCATTTCGAGGTAATATCGGGTATTTGTTCACACTAATTTATTCAATAACGAGGAGAAAAGATAGCACAAAGTGTAGTCCGGTTGATGAATTACGAGGCCAACTGGGCAACGTATGACCGCCTTTGGGCTCATCTGGTGGTTGTTGATAAATAACGCAACGGAACTGGATAAGAAGCATCAATCGGGGTCGAACTTCATTCTAAACATTCGGAAACACGCTTGTTTCGTTCATACATGATAGGTGCTACGTGACTAGTATTTTCAAGCACTCCAGTGACTAGCATTCTCATTTATGACAAAACTCGTGTCGAACAATTTTGACTAAATATTGATCGGTATTTATAATAATTTAACAGTGTACGCAAAAAAAGGTGTATGGAGAGAGAGAGAAGGAGGGAAGAAATGCGATAAAGAAGCACCCTTACAGAAAGTAGAAACCCAGTGAAGTAAAACCCTGGACAGTGAGGATTCTAACCCTTTAAATAGTGACAAACTGACGACAAGACTGCAACTTGACATGGTGTGATGACTCGTGCACCTCTTTGACCGAAAAATGGTAAAACATCTGGGCAATGCTAAGCCCCGTGATAGCTGGGATTTCTACCACTGATCAAGAATATAGTTCCTTCGGCTATTAGTTTTCTACATTACGAGAAAATAAATGCATCTTACTGCGTTTAGATGGTGAAACCCAAAGGGTCGAACACATCGACCCGAATGAAGTGGTTTCGAACACTGTCCTTCTTAAACAGAAATGTGATTTCATTCAGCTAGGTTGTACTGAAACATTACACTGGAAGTGAAACACGCCCTAATTACAGTAAATACCTTCGGGGAATTTATTGCACATCATGGTCCATTGTACAGCTCCAAACAGGAACCAGAAAACCTGGCCTTGGGACTGAGAAACGCGACGGCAGAGCTGTCCAACATTAGGGAAGAGTGGGAATGACGAGGGTTTGCATGTAAGTTCTAACAAAACGATGATAAATAAACAGAGTGAAGAGGAAGGTCTGTACAGTGCATTTAAAAAATTTCCATGTCTCAAAAGGGCGTTGTAAGGAAAAGGAATGAGTCGTGTGTGCGCATTTTATTATCGCATTAAGCTCTCAAAAGGTGGCTTCTGGTGTTGCATTCAGGTTCAGCAATAATGCTGAACTCTCTCGAAATCTGCCAGTACGAACAACTTCCAGTGATTTCCTCAGCAAACCCATTCAAAAAGAAATTGGCACTGAAACCTGTATTCAGTGGTGCTTGATATGGTGAAGTCCAGCCACATTGTGTACACCCTTCAATCACTATAAGCGGAAGACCAGAAACGGGCCAACCGTGCGGCATGATCCTGTTAGCGATCCCAATTTCCGGTGCTGATGGGTGCGCTGGAATTACTTACGGAACTTGCAAGGTTTCTGGTTGGTTTAAACCATTTTTCCCTTGAATGGGTGAGAATTTCGAGGAGGAATCATTTTTCGTAGCGCCTCCTATATTGATAAGACTGTATAAATCGTTACGCAGCACATCCCAGGACCTTTAGCTGTTAGTCACGCGTTGCGAGAGGAAGGATCTTGTTATGATTAACTTTCATTCGGGGTTTTTTTATTTAGAATGAGACCAATCAATTAATTAGCAATTTTTTCTCCGGTATTCGGAGCCTCATTTCTTATGCAACTTTTTGGTTCCATTGCACGATCTGCCTTGAACTTTACAGGAGAAAGGCTTCATTTCTGGGCTCCTGGAATCTCCTGGAATCTATTGTGTCCCTTTACTACAGTTATCGTGCACAAGAGTGATCAGTGCGCAGCAAAAAAACGTATCTTGGAACAGGTTGTCTATCTTCAGAGTCCGACAATCAAGTACTTACAGGGCTAGTTATCTTTACACCGTCCGAGAAGTACAGATCGGGTCAAACATTCAGATGAAAGATTCTCTGTATTTAGACAAGCAGGCTTTGCGGCAACTGAATTCTACAGAAGGTCTCCGTTTACTATTTTAGTTCCATTTGGCTCTGGAACGAATGCTGACTTTTCAGGATACGTTAAATCGTAGTTCATCTGGTTTACCCCTATTGCGTGCAAGAAAACTCCTTTGGATAGTGTGCTGGATTTTCGCAGTTTTATAATCTAACCACCGTACAATACCTGCCCTGTCACATGATTACCAAGATGATGACTGTCATGAAGACTTTGTATGGATCACTTTTCAGCACACAATCGTGTGATGAACAACTGAAGGGGTATGGCCCCGTAGTCATGCTCTCCTGTGGAAATCCGGCAGTTTAAACACTAGACCCTAGAGAGGCGAACCAAATAGGAGGGAGGGGCAGCAGAAAAGACGTGGTAAAGAATATACAAATACACAATTTTCAGGAAGGCGGAAATGGCTAATCATAGGGTTGCCGTTCAACACACAATGGGGAAAGTTAAGCGGTGGTGGGATTCGAACACACATCTCCGGGGTGATAATTTGGTGACGTTACCACCGGGCCACAACCGCCCAAGAAAGGGATGGTCCGAAGACCTTCCCACTGGCAAAAACTATGCGCCCGAGCGAGCCCGATTAGGGATCGTCGCAGGCAAGGACGAGCCTCCACCTGGAGTCAGGGTATCCGTGATCACCCTGATCCCGGTGCCAGGTAAGTTTGTATAGTGGTGGTTAAGTGGTTTAAACCGGTCATTGGTGTGAATCGGGTTTTAAAGTTAGAGTCCTGTCACGGCCACACAACTCTGGCGGCAGGCAGTGAGATCTTATATGGTTTGCGACTCTACTTTCCAGAGCTAAGGAGTGTCCAGAGAGGGAATTGTAGGTCCTAGTGATTATGGGGTTTACCTTATCTACTGTTCATCACATACTGGTGTAAGAGAATAACATTGAATTCACTGAATGATACCTTAAGTCCCGAATTCAAAGAAGACTTTTATGTACAAAAAGACATATAAATTTCGGATGACGTAACTTCGCCGGTCCGACATCTCAGCGAACAATCGGAAATGTCGATACTGACTAACAAAGGTGTAACCTGCCCACCCGCATGCCTGCGATTCTTCATCGAGGCCAAACAACTAGAAATAAGAGTTCAGCGGACTACAAATAACTCGAGGGATGTTCCGGAATGTTTACTCCAAATACACAGTGACAAGAGCAAGGATGAGGTGGACACACGATTAGTTGAGTTGAAAAACTCAAGTAAGACGAAGAATACGTAAAATGCATCACAGCTCCAAATCCCAGCGAATTCTTCGCAGCAGATAATCAACAAACCAAGAGCAAATTGGTATGTGGAATGGGAAAAACATGGCATGGTAGTAAAAATTTGTGTGCGAAACAAGAGACCCGAAACCATGAGTGGATTTGACTCATCCAACAGGCAATCACGAGGCGAGAACATGTTTGCCAATTAGCCAAAATTCAACTTCCCGAAAATCAAACAACCCAGGTGTGCGACTGCACCGCTTCATATCCCTTTCGAGATTTTTGACACCTGTATTGCATCACAGCTCCTGCATACTTCATTAAATGTGGTACATATGGAAACATACTGTATAATAAAGACTTACAAGATGCGCATTTCCGTCGTACGCAGGGATTTACTCCGATTGTCGGACCACTCATAAAGGGATTGACGAGACCCGCACACCGATTGCTTCGTTTACGCGCATTAGTGGAGCACTGAACCAAGGAGGCACGAAACCCCGCTCCGGTAGTACGTGTCGCAGACAAAAGAGCCAAACGATTTGTATGCCAGGATGAGACAGTTGGACTCAGCAACGAATGACGCGATTGTGATTCGGCAGTTCGTTGGTCACGTGCTTGAGTGTTACTATTCGGACGACGCACCAAAACAGAGGCGTTGGAACTGACTTCACTCAACGGACCGGGACATTCACGGACAGAACATTCAACCCGTGCCACAGAAGTCGTATTTCGAGAATAGAGTGGTGCAAACCGAACCCCTTTGGTGACAACCAACTGGCCATCGGAATTCAGTCTGTGTACACATAGTGAATCGGACATGAAAAATCAAAAACCAGGAGAGAAAATGAACAGCAAAACCACTTGTAAATATTTACTATGGACAAAAATCATTTCGTGGCTGTCCAGTGCTTCCTAGTTTTTCAGTTCACGCTTCATTTGCCATATTATACACGACGAATTCCTATTTGAAATTTAATCAAATCCTCCATTACTCACATGAAATATATATATATATATATGCAAGATTCGTTCTAACTAGATGAGTCTTCGAAACCCTAAGATGATGGAAATAGTGATATCGAGGCAGCTTACTGTGGTGTAGTTTGCGCAGAAAGCCCTTGTGTCTCATTCACAGGCGTCAACAGGGATGGAGCCTCTTCATCCTGACTGATTGTGCTGATTGGCAGACTTGACTCTTCGGTGCTCGAGAAAGCAACATTTACATTATACGGATCCATATGCGATGCTGTGGAACATGAGTCACTAGTTGATGTGGCTCCTTGACAGGACGAAGCTTCAGCAGCGATTCCCATTGAGAGCGGTAACAATTCAGATGGGCATGGCTCATCTACCAGTGTAACAGTTGTGCCGGATGGAGTGCATTGATTTGTGGCCATATGCGATTCCAGTTGAATAGAACTTCGTGGAGCCAAGTACTACAGAAAGTCACCAAAGTGTTACCGTTTAATGGTTATATAAGATTACGAGGAGCTTGGTTAGATAATCTGATGAACATGCTGATTCTGAAACAAGAACAACGTAGAAGTGTAACTAACACGTATTTACTCGATACAAAGCTGGTCGAAATAACACGGCGGGTAAAAAGAAAACAAATATCATCGAGGCACCTGATACGTGAAAACTTGGTACCACATTAAGGGTATTTTTATAAGTAGCTACATTTTTAAATACGTAAATCCTACAATTGTATAAACATGAGTACAATTCCATTTTAAAATGTAGACTTACAGAAAAAGGTGAAAGGTGATTCAGTTGGCAGTGGGATTCACGCGGTGAAGAAGTGGAAGACATTTTCCTCTCTAAAGGTAACTCATGTATGGTGGAGTCATGTGCTAAAGAAATGGAACATGATGAATCCTCATCCACAATGAAATTGCTTGGGAGTATGTCTTGTAGCAAGACTGGAGAACATGACGTGAAACTTTCTCTTTCATCAGTAGGCGCAGCATTTGAAACCATTCGACTGTCCATGGGCGTAACAGGTGATTCGTCCAGTTGCAAATTACCGTAGCGTCGAATCACCGATGACTGAGTGTCTTCGTTATCCTTTTTAGAAAATGGCAAAATATGGATGATTCAATAAAGTGAAGATAATGAAAACGTAATCATGCACGCTTTAGGAATGATGCGCCTCATAAACGGATTTCAGGAACATTAAAACATCGGTCAAACACTGTCAATTAGCTTGATGTCAAAAGGTGATTGGCATTATAAACTAACTGAGATCGTCAGAAGATATGCAACTTTTTTCCCGGCATTGATAACAAAACTCTGTTTACAAAACCGAAAATTTACTCCTTTAATTCACCAATGAAAACTGTGATAGATTAGAAACTGACTGAATTGCAGGAACAAATTAATGAGAATTGAGTTCGATAACAGTAACTGGCAGTAGGATGATATGATACGATATGTCTCTAAAAACCTCAGTAGCGAGTGGGTGTCTAGGGTTGCGGTTGGTCACCCTTCCCTTGCACCTCGCGAAATGCTCCCATACAACCAAGCGTCTCAAATAGCCTCTGCTGAGGAAGCCCTACTCACTGCCTTCTCGGGACGGAGGTGTTTTCCCACCAAAGCGAGGAGCCGAAAAGCCGACATCCGGGGCTATAACCGGGTTGGTGGACCACCGATAGTTCACTTAGGGAAGTTGGCCAAAAACCCTGATTCCAAACCAACCAAGAGGCGTACGAACCACAACTACACCTTTTTTCTTTTTCATAAAGATTATCGTACCATGATTTGCTTGGCACAGTCTGTCCTCAGAGAAGTGTGAAATACAATAAGTAGGATGCTATAACTATATTTTCGGTTTGGAACTGATCCGCTAAAACCAATTGCCTGTATGCAAATGACGTCGAAAACAGTGATGCTCGTGCATTTTCTCAGTCTCTTTGCAACTTCATTTTACCATAAGTCTCCATTTTAACTTTGACGCTGCTTTCAACATCCCAATCTCACATCTACTTTTTCATCCAAATGGACATTCAAAACACAGTAACTAAAACCGCCGGATGAAAGCGCATGCTGACCGCATAAACTGAAACTAAAACACAACTGATGAGATTACTACGAAATGGTTGAATTCAACACAATGTGATCGCCATGCTTACTGGTTTTACGGTTCAGTTCATTACCCACCTTCACTGTACATCTCTCTCTCATAACAAAGAGGTTTACTCCCTGTATTTCGTATCATAACATCGCATTAACCATTAACAATTACTGCGATTGGGTGGTTCTGGTTGAAACTCACAGGTGAAACAAATAGACCACCGTCCAATCCAGGGCAGTTGTTTTCAAAAAACTTATTCCCAGATGTCATCGTTGACTCATGATCATAAAAAGAGGAAGGCATCGGGCTTTGTGAGCAAGAACGAGAGCTTGACACAGTTGTGCAAGAATCCAAAGAACTACTTGAATCAATAGAAAAGCGCTTATGGGTAGTATGAATAGAATGATGTGCTGGTGTTATTGTAGGCATTGTGGATCTGAATCCTTGCATTTCATCCAAAGGTTGCACTTGATGGCAAGAGGTTGACTGCATCAAATTTGGACAAAATTGTTCACTAGGAAGTGGTATTGACACTTCTGATGAACCACTTTCCAGCAGGCTCCTAAGAGTTGGAAGTACCTCAGTCGTCCTATCATTGTTTTCAATTGGGTCCTCATCATTTTCCGCCAGAAGTGTTGAACATGAGTTACATGGAGTAAGCTTTTGCCTTTTTGATGCGGCAGAGTCCGTCAGAGGTTCCTTCGCGTCCGGGGCTGCAACAGGAACGTCTGAAATAATTTGATTTCATACAAGTTACCTGTGTTACATTCGCCACAAAATACGGTGTTGGCTGGATCTAAAGACAGAACATTGGACTGGAGTAAGACGCGCATTGTGTTGTCAAAAAGAGAATCATTCTCCTGTGCACCGAGTGCTAAAAGAAGGAGGACAAGAATGATGATTTAACATTGGGCTTACCGTCACCTCCAGGATCTATAATTGAGCGACTTATAGAATGAGAACCCGCATCTTTCTCTGAGCATTGCTCGGTCGAAAATGAGTAATTCTTCGTCAATTGACTGGTTGATGGTGGGCTCAACATCGATGCAGATTGTAAAGATTCACGAGATGTATTCCGACTTTGGTGCATGACATTACTGTAGACTATATCATAGCATCCAACTTCTGCACGATCAGAAACGGATGAAACCGGTAGGTTAATAAAACCAAGTGGAGAACTACTTCTCCGCATAGGCACAAGCATTGAATCTGCGTTAACGGCATACTGGTGCATAGGCTCCGGTAAGCTTGGGATAATATTTTCTTCCGAACAAGAGTTAGAGCAATAAGCTGGAGTATGTGAAGTGTTATTCATCAGCATGTTGACTTCCGTAAATCCTAGCGATGAAAATTAAGAAAATCTTTGTTTAAGGTTAGCATACAATAAATAAACTACGTCAATCAAAACTAGCGAACGTTACTCGACTAGTGTCTGGTTAATAAGCGTTGGTTCAACAGGGATCATAAAACGATCATCTGAAAATCAAAATAAGCAGTAGTTAACATTGCTATTATGACTTGAATACGTGGCAGTGACTGCTGTTATTAGTTAAGTTAGAACGAAACCTTGACAATTTTTCGGTGAGAGTTTGTTGAACGCTCTCGTCATTGTTGGCTGTGTAATCAACAGGGTTTAGCTATTTCCTCATGAAATGGATTAAGCAATATGAGAGGGAGCGGTCGAAAAAGAATGTGGCCGGGAACTTTAGTGCCTGTATGTAGATTGCTCGTGTAAATGTTTACCTGAAGTGGAAGAAGTCAGAGAGAATCCGCATCTAGTTTGCAAAGTATTTTCACTCAATAAAGAAAGTACCAGCAACATTTTTATGGTCAACGTAACTGTCGAATTGACGGTAGTTGGTCCAGCAGCAAATAACGGAAGAATTTGGATTATTAGCTTTAGCTGTAGCTGTTCAGTTCAGTGTACACATCCATCACGAAGAGACTGCACCTTGACGTGGTGTGATGGCTTGCGTGCCTCCATAACCGTATGAGCTATACAGGATAACTCCTCACAGCCGCAGATCCAATCATGCCTGAAAGGTCAATGGGTAGAGGCCAGACGAAGATCAGTCTCACAAAGCCAGCTGCTTGGGCACCTGGCCTCTTTCATCTATTCACTCCCGCCCCTGGAGAGGCCACTCCAGTAAATAAACATCGTGAGGGGCAGTTACCGGTCAAAAAACCCCGCTAGATTGATGTAGGAGCGGGGTACCTGGGGATTCCTCTCGACTGTGGGAGAAATCTTCGCACTTCATTGGACAGCTACCGCCCGCTCAAGCTGGGTAGCCCCCAGCCAATAAGGTGCTGTCCCGTCCACGTTCCGCTTGTCACATTGGGTGCATGAGGCTAAGGGCTGATCCTGAAAAGCG